CTCAGGATACCCTCATTAGAGTGAGCAACCCAGCCACTGAAATCCCCTTTAAATGTAAGCATCAGGGGATGTTGAATTTGTCATCTCAGAAGTAGACAAATTAACAGCCCCACAATCTTGTGATTTAAATATCCCAACCACAAAAAGAAAAAAAAAATACTCAGGCCTTTGCTGAGTCACAGTCAGAAAACACAGAAAAAATTATTTTTCTTTCTTAATTTGCTGCAAGCTGGGATTTTTTTATAGCTTAGAAAGTGCAAAATGAGTAAAAGAGAGGTGCTAGTGCTGCTCCTGGAAGGGTGCAGAGTTCTCAGGATTTGTTCTGGAAGGGATTTCTCCATGGAGATCCCCCAGCCCCAGGGAGGAGGATGAGCCCAGGGATGGCTCTGACCCCATGGAGGTGACACAGAAACTGAGGAGTTTCAGCTGTTCAGGAAATCACAGGGTAATTATTGATCACAGGCCTGGCTCCGTCACCTCAGTGGGAGAATGGAGCTGCTCCCAGCTCCTTTGAAGGCTCCCATTAGGAATGAGGTGTTCATCAATATCCCCTCTTGGATGAATAACGTACATCACACACAGGGAATTGCAGAGCAGAGCTCTCCTTCCTCCCTGCTCTCCATCCTCAGCTGCTGCTCCTGCATCTTTCTGCACACCTGGGCTCTGCCCTTGGCTTGGAATGGGACAGGATCATGGAATGGTTTGGGGTGGAAGGGACCTTAAAGTCCCTCATGTTCCTGTCCATGGCAGGGACACCTCCCACTGTCCCAGGTGCTCCAAGCCCAATGTCCAACCTGGCCTTGGGCACTGCCAGGGATCCAGGGGCAGCCACAGCAAATCTGGGAATTCCATCCCATCCCCTCCCCACCCTCCCAGGGAACAATTCCTGCCCAAAATCCAACGTGAATTGTCCCTCCTCCAGCTTAAAACCATTAATGCCCCTAATGCCACTTCCAGACCTCTGAGCCCTGACCCAGGAATTCACAGCTCATGTGAAGGGACAGGAGGACTGGGCTGGACTGAGAGCAAAGCTCAGCTTTGCTCCAGGCCTGCACCCTGAGGACAAGGAGTGGATAGAGGAATTCCACCCTCAGGAATCTACAGGATTCACGCAGAGAGGACAGCACAGCAGGCAAGGAGCAGAACCCCGGGGCTGCTGCTCGTCACAGGGCGAAGGAAAACTCTGCTGTGTGTCCAATTTCCTCTGCTCCTGTGCTCTAATGAGCCATCTGGTCTGCAAACACACAGCCACAGCCACAGCCACAGCCACAGCCACAGCCACAGCCACAGCCACAGCCACAGCCAGCCCTGTGCCACTCGGGGCTGTGTCCTGTGCCACTCGGGCTGTGTCCTGTGTCAGGCTGCCACAGCAGCACAAAGGGAGGGCAGGAAATTCAGCAGTGCCCAAATCAGCATCACCTTCCCCGTGTCACAGAGCCACACGTCACCCACCCCCAGCCCTCAAAATAACAACAGTCCAATCTGCTTCTTTATATAGAAAGGGAGCTAATGACCAGGATGCATTAAGAGCAATTAATCATTTCCCATTAGGAATGCTCAGGGATTTTTCTGAGATGTTCCACTCAGGAGTGGGAAAACCTGGCTTTGTCTTTATTCAGTGAAATTCCACACTGAATGCTGGCCATGACACAGGTTGTTGCAATGATGTTCCACATTTTCAATTATGTTTAAAAATAAATATACTGGCTGTATATAAACTGGAGAGCCAGTAAGGAGAGAACTCTTGGAGGTGCTGGGAAACCAAACTTTTCCCTTTCCACAACTCCCTGACAGGGAGTCAGGGGGGAAACAAGGGACAGGATTTGGGGAAATGGCCTCACACTGTGCCAGGGAGTTTTAGATTGGAGATTAGGCAAAATTTCTTCATGGAAAAGCTGTCCAGTCCTGGCACAGTCTCTCCAGGTCACCATCCCTGGAAATGCTCAAAAACCATGTGGATGTGGCACTTGGGGACATGGATTAGTGGTGAGCATGGTGCTGCTGCTGGGAATGGGTGGCCTGGATGATCTCAAAGGTCTTTTCCAACCCTAATGGTTCTGTGATTCCATGACTCTCCCAAGATTCAGATCCCACCTTTACCAATGCTAAGTTACTAGAGGAATGGTTGATTTTGTATTTTAAGTGCTTTTAAACACATTTCCTCTGTTTTAACTTTTGAAAATTAAAGGAACTTTAGGAAAATTTAAGATATAGGAGAAGCCACTGAAACAGCAAATACTGAATTTTTATAGAATTTCTTAATAAATATAAAGCAGATCATCTCTACTTTCTGAATCTGCAAACTTCTCAGCTTTTGTTATGTCAGAGTTGATTGTCACAGTTTTTCTCTCCATAAGGAACTATGTCTTCAAAGCTGGCACAAAAGCAGCTGCTGAAAACTGACCATGAATTGAGAAGTTTCATCCCAAAAACACTTTATAGTTTTTTTTTTTTGTTAGATGAGGAACCTTTTTAATGTGGTTTTTTTTTTTTTTTTTGGCATAAGCAAAACCCTTCCGGTCCTCAGATGAAGTTAGTGCAGAAAAATAAAATAAAATTGGATATAAGAACTGATTAGGAAGAAATAATGCAACAGTCAGTCCTGACTTCAAAAGCACTTTAGGATGGAACTCAAACCCTCTATCAATACTGTACATGGCCACATTTACAGGGAAGGGGGGGAAAGAAGGGCCAAGGGTTTTGATGATCATGGAATCACAGAATTCCAGCCTGCTTTGGGTTGGAGAGAAATTAAAGCTCATCCAATTCCATCCCTGCCATGGGCAGGGACACTTTCCACTGTCCCACATTGCTCATGGACTCACTTGAAAAGCTGCTGCTGAACAGAAATGTAAAAAAATCAGAGTGATGAGAAAAAGCCTTTCTGGCTTTGGATCCTCATGCTCTCACTGATGTTTGCTCTGCGTTTTTAAGTGCCTGGAGAAATGAGCAGGCACTTTCAAATGTAAATGTGTAAAAGTAAATAAATACCAAATTCCTAATTTAGCAAAACTGCAACTCTGATGTGCAGATAAACTGAAGTGCAATCCATCATAATTTGATTTTTACCTCACCTTTCTCCTAAATAACTTTTAAAACCAGTTCCTTCCAATTTCCGACATCTCTTTCCACATTCCTTCCAATGTCATTTTTTTTTTCTATTTTATGAAAGTATCAGTAGGAGAAAGTGACAGAAGAGCAGAAATGCTCTCACATCGTTGTGATTTGAGCCAATTAATTTTTCATTAGTGTTTCCATGACGTGGGTGCCTTCCCCCAATAAAACACACACAAAAACCAGAGCAAACAACAGAGCTGAATCCAAATATTGCCCTGCAGCCCCCAGCCCGTGCTGCAGGTGGTCAGACCCAAACCCCCTGAGGACCAGAGGCAGTGGCACCACCAGTGCCACCCTCACAAGGCCAGGGGTGCTGCAGGGAGCTCAGGTGATGCTCAGAGCCACCAGCCACGTCCCACCCCTGCCACAGCTCCTGGCTGGGTTTTGAGCTTGGATGGTGCTGAAGAACTTCCCTTCCTGTCCTCAAAAATTCAAGGGTGGTGATTGTTTCCTTCAAGAAGCTTCCTGTTAACAAATATCCTTATTTCTCCTCTTTTAAAGGTTCTTCAGTGCCTTGCAGTGTTGTGCCCTAGGGATGGACCAAAGTCTTCTACAAACTCAAACCAGCAGCTAAAACAACATCAGCAGTGCTAACACCAAGGAATTTCATTCACAAAGCTAAAAAGGAATTCAGATGCCCATTCAGGAAAACTAATGAAAAGAAAAAGCATTATTTTAAATGTTTTATAATCCTCTGGTGGATAATCTGGGAGGCAGAATTCCCCTGCTGTTGTTTAGAGGTGGCAGCAGCAGTGATATTTCCTACCCAGCTTTGCCCATTCACATCCACCTCAATGCTAAAGTTTCCACAACATGGCACTTCATTTAATCCCAACTAATAAAAAAAAATCCTCAGGACCACCCTGGAATTTGAATGTGAAAGATCTGGCACTGGGGAATTTGCATAACATGGGACAGTAAGTGCAGAGATGCTCATGGAAACAGAAGTTGCTGTGCAAAGCTCACAGATCCTGAGATTCCCTTATTCACCAAGAAATGATGGCATTTGGGGCAGGCAAGAAGGCACTGCAAACATCACACTTTGAGGTTTTTATTATTATTATTATTATTTATTATTATTATTATTATTATTATTATTATTATTATTATTATTATTATTATTATTATATATAATGGGACCCATTTAATTTCAGATTTTTCATTTCTGTTATGAGGCCTTCAGCATCAGTCAATGGTGAGGAGGAACTTTTCTCAGGTGCTGTTTTTATCTGAATTCATAAACAGCACAACTTTGTGGTACCAAGTCTCTCTGTTTAAAAAGATCAGTAAGTCATCTATGATAACTTTGAGGAATAAAACCACAGCAACCTTGCACAACCTACCCCTGACTGCTTCCCTGGCACTTTTCTCCTGACAGGGACACAGAACCACAGAATCAGGGAATCACTGAGGTTGGAAAATCCCTCTGAGCCATCAATTCCTACCAGCACTGCCAAGGCCACCCATGTCCCCAAGTGTCACATCCAAAGGCTTTTAAAAGCCCCCAGGGATGGGGACTCCAGCACTGCCCAGGGCAGCTGGAGCCCTTTCCAGGAAGGAATTCTCCCAAATCTCCACCCCAAAGCCCTGCTGATGCAATGTGAGGCCATTCCCACTTTTCCCATCCCTGTTCCCTGGCAGCAGATCCAGACCCTCCCTGGCTGCCCCCTCCTGCCAGGCAGTTGTAGAGAGCGATGTCAAAGCCTCAAACCCCCCCCTTCTTGGTGGCCAAAAGCTCCTTTCAGTAGCCACCACCTCACCGAGCAGCTCACAAGCCTTCAGGTGTTGCTCACACCCCACCCTTTCAGCACCTGAACCGCACCATTTCATGGAGCAAGGATGAAGGGAGTGCCGGTGGCAGGGGGCAGGAGGGTGGCACTGACCTCTCTGGAGCAGGGGGTGGTGGAAGGCTGGCACGGGCAGGCTCGCTGTGGTGGCTGGCTCACAGAAGTAGGCTCGGAGCCAGGCTGTGCATTGCTGCAGGGGCTCGGGCATCTCCTCTGCCCCCTCGCACACCTCGCAGCTCACCGAGGACTCCGCCCTGCTGAGACACGCAGAAATGCCAAATTACAGCGGTAAAAACAACAAAAGCAGGCTGGACATGGCTCTGAACAACCCTTGAGTGGAACCACACAGTCCTGAAGGTCCCTTCTAACAAAACAGCTCTGTGGTGCTCTGATAAAACCGAGCTTTCACACTTTCTGTATCAGCAAAACAAAAACCTCCAAACATTTAATCTGGAGTTAGATTTTTTTTTTTCTTCTCAGAGAAAAGTGAAGGGATTCCTCACAGCAATACCAAAAACTCACTCTCGTCACCTCTACAAATGCAAAGGTGGCTCAGGGTTATAAACACCTGTAAGAAAATCCAGGAAAGATCGGTAGGAGGAAAAAGCCACGTGGGAAATGTCGGGGAGCAGGAACCCCACCCGAGCCCACGGTGGATGACACATCCCTGTGCATCCTTGGATGGAGGGGAGGCTCCTCCTCTGTGTCCCCCGGGGGTGCTGTCCCTTGTCCCCAAGGAATCCCTGGGGAAGGAGGGAAGGGAAGGAAGCAGCTCCTGCTGCTCCACGCCTTCCCCGGCCCTGGCAGGTCTCTGCTTCCCTCCCCTGATTGAATTGGAAGGAAGCAATTGAGAATTCATTTGATTTTCAATGGCAGCTCGTGCTTGCAGGGGCTGAGGAGCAAAGTGAGCGAACAGAAAGCACCTGTAAATAAAAATGTGCTGCTTCCCTTCCTCCTTTTTCTTTCTTTTCCTCTGGAAGAGCAACAAGATAAGAGTGATGAAGAAGGGAACTGGGACCTGCACATATCCAGGTGTGTTTTCCAAACTGGATGTTTTCAGGGTGCAGAGAAGTGCTGGGAAAGGGGTGGTGGTGCCCCCTGCCAGCAATCTTCTCATACCCAGAACCCTCACCACCACTGAGGGGCCATTCCCTGATTCTTGCAGCTTTTTCTCCCAGCTGGAAATAAAGCCAGAGGAAGAAGTTCCTCAATGCCAGACCTCAACTGCAGAGTCTTCTGGTGAGAGGTTGGTGATGCCCAGAGGAGCTGGAACAGAGGCTACACAGAGTTAAGAGGAATAAAATGGATATTTATTGAGAGGCCTTCAAAAGCCACACCCTGGCAGTGCCAGTGCCACAGTCATGGCCTTGCCCAGGTGGCTCCAAGATGGAAACAAAAGATGGCTTGGTCACGAGATCTCACATTTTTATAAATTTTAGTCCATTTGCATGCAGGAGTCAACTGACCAATTAACATACTTAAATAATGAAGTTTCATCCTCCTTGCTTGCTTGCTTGTCTGCTCTCCTCTTTCCACGTTGTTTGTGCTTAGGGACTGAAGTTTGAAGAAATTGTCCTTGAGTTCTTAACTGGACTAGGACTGTTTTGTCTTCACCACCCAAGCAGAACAGAAAAACTTAAGGCAGCACTGGATGTGCTCCAAAGCAAGAAAATTAAGAGAAAACTGTGGCAATGTCAAAACACGTGTGAGCCTGAGACAAGGGAAGGGAAAAGCAGAGTGATTGTGCAGCCAGGTACGGGGACAGAACAAACCAACCCCAATTCCTGAGCGTGCTGCAGGAGGGGAAAGGATTTCCTGAGACTCCTCTGAGCAAAAAGCCAAAGCAAATGAAGCCAGTGATGTTTCAGGAACAGCATCAAAGAGCCTGGCTCTGCTGTGGCCACGAGGCAGCTCTGCAGTCACACCCAGATCTCCAGAGCTTGATCCAGCCCAGCATGGAGCTGGGACACGGGATAATCACAGAGCCCCCGGCTGGGATCAGGGATGTGCCAGGGGCTGGGGCACAGCCACCCTCCAAAGCACAGCCCTCGCTTGCCTGGTGCCTGATCAAACAGCTCTGCCATTCCCCCAGCCCCAGCTCAGCTTCTGATTAATTGTGAACCACTGAAGGCCACGTAATTAGTGCTGGGAAAGTGGAGGGACAATTAAAACACTCCAGCAGCTGCACAGGAGTCCATGACTTGGAGCAGAGGCAAAACAAATCTGCAGAATCAGCTTTGGATCCAGTTTGGTGGGAGTTAAGTGCAATTTTATTTCTCTTTCCATTTATTTATCAAATTGATGCTTTGGATTTTCCTTTATGTATGTAAAGTAGGATCAAATTGCTTTTTAAAACTGGTGTCTACCTTATGCTGCTTTTCTGATTAATAATATCTTTGCTAAAAGAAGAAGTATGAGAATCCAGGCACAAACTTTTGTACATGAATCCCCAAGTCATGGACTTCAAACCAAGCTCTCAACACCACGGATAATCTGTTATTTTACACAGGTATAACACAGCTGAATATTGCACTGTGTTAGTGTGATTTGTTAGAGCTACAACAAAATAATATGAGAGAATATAATGACAATAACTCCTCTGAAACCTGGAGAGAAGTGGGGAGACTTTTCTGCTCCATTTATCCAGAAGAGCACGAGGAGCACTCAAAGCCACGGGCTCCTTATGTTTTTCACATCATCCTGTTTCCCATTCATGGGAGTCTGGAAGTCATTTGGGCTGTAATGTCACCAATAAAACAGAAAAACTCCATCTCCTCATGGCTCCAGGAGCAGCAGCTCCAGGCTCTGCCTCCAACTGCAGCCAGGGCCCAGCCCAAGGGCACCCAAGCACCATCAGTGACCCCAAAACAAGTGGGGAGCAGCCAGGGAGACTCTGGGAGCAGCTCCCAGAGCCTAAGGGGGCTCCAGGAGAGCTGGAGAGGGACTGGGGACAAGGGATGGAGGGACAGGACACAGGGAATGGCTTCAAACAGACAAAAGGCAGGGCTGGATGGGATTTTGGGCAGGAATTGTTCCCTGGGACAGAATTCCCAGATTTGCTGTGGCTGCCCCTGGATCCCTGGCAGTGCCCAAGGCCAGGTTGGACATTGGGGTTGGAGCACCTGGGACAGTGGGAGGTGTCCCTGCCATGGCAGGGGTGGCTCTGGGTGGGATTTAAGGTTCCATTCCAAGCCAAACCATCACAAACACATTCCTCACTTCTCCTCCAGGTGCTCCCTGGCAGGAGTGTTTGGATAGAATTTATTTTTCATTTTCTTTTCAATTGCTGCTTTTAATCACAGTGCCCTGCCACTGCTGAACATCTCCAGATGTTTTTGGTGGGGTCATTCTCCCAGAAATTCAACACCAGAGGCTTTCCCAACACCTGCCACCTCCACCTGGGCCAGGACAGGGAACACCTCACAGGGCAGAAATGAATTTGCTTTCCAGGAATGCACTGACTTCTCTTTTCCTGCAGGATACAAACTCACCGTGCCAACACACACACACCCAGAGCTTCACACTGGCAGGGAGCTGAAAAAAACCTGAAAACCTTCATGTTCATTTTGCTTGGCTAGAGATGGCAACAGCTATTCCTGGGAATTTGACAGGTTTAATAAAGAAAAAGAAGGCACATAACTCATGCATGGGTGTCTTCTGCTGGCCCTCCTCTCCTCCCTGCCCTTCCCTCTTCCCCTTTCCCTTTCCAAACTTGCACAGCAGAACTTCCACAAACTCCCTGAGCATTAAATACCCGAGTGAAAACACCAGCTGCCTTTTAAAGGATTTTCTCAGGCTTCAAAGCCTTAAGTACCTTTCAAAAAGCAGAGTCAAAAGTGGTCTCAAAACATCGGTAAGAAGAGCAGAGGAGTTACATCATGGGAAATTCCCCCCTGGAAGGAAATCCCTCTGCTCAGTGTCCGATTTCTTGGAAGGTTTCTGAGCAGCCAGGCACGAATCTCTGAGCACCTCTGAGTCGAGATGGACAGGAACAAGTTGAAATTTCGAGAAAAACCACATACTTCAGAGTTCTATTACCTTCCTTGGGCTTGACTTTTCGGATTGAAAAGGAAAAAAAAAGAGCTTTTCTGAATGTCCTGCCCTGGGTGACACCCAAGAAAAGGATCACAGTGGCACCAGCAGCACACAGGGTGGTGGCCAAAGTGGCCACTCACTGTTTGACCCATGCAAAGTTTAACTTGTCTCAAATTTGTGATCAACAAGATGCAATTTTATTCTTTGAAAAATCAAAAATCCCCAAAAAAACATGTAAGAAATATGACTGCTTTGCTTTCACCCCGGAGAATTTTTTTATTTTTCCTTAAAAAGTACCAATGCTTTTTTTTTCTTTTTTTTTTCAGTGAGGCTGGAATCGTGAGAAACATTTATTTAAACCACATTAATATTATTTAAATCGTTTCCACTTACATCAGAGTCTGTCACTACATTTGTTTTCATTCCTGAGTTATGCTGGGTGCTGCCTTGCACCCCAAAAAATCCAAAGTGGAGCGTTTTGTATTTTTACCTTGTCAACAAACAATTGCTGCTGTTGGGGTTTAGTGTGCATATTCTATTCTATTCTATTCTATTCTATTCTATTCTATTCTATTCTATTCTATTCTATTCTATATTCTATTCTATTCCTATTAATTTTAAACTTATTTTATTTTTTGACCCAGGTTTTTTTTTTTTTTGTTTGCAGTAACGTGGTGCCCTCTAATATGTCACCAGTGTCACACATCTGTCACACATCCTTAACTTTTTGGGGATATTTTGGGTAAATGGATATTCAGCTCCTTATGACCAACATGGCTTTACAGAGGGATGTTTCATTAAAACTACAAACTCCTCAATCAGAAATAAAAGCTGGTTTTAAGCGATTTCAAGACATCTAGAAAGAAATATGTATTTTTTTTCCAGTTGGATGTGTCTCACAAAGAGCCTTTTTTCAGGCCAGGCACCCACTGCTGTTCCTGCACATCTCCAGCCTGTGGTGGTGATGTGACAGAGCCCAAGATCAACCCCAAAGTGGGAATCCACCACAGGGTGAGGGTTTTCACACACCACACCATTCCTCCTGCAATCCTATATATTCCTTTCCACTGCATTACTATTATTCCTTTGCAGAGCCTGCCCAGGGTCGGGAGCCAGTTGGCTCCTGCATCCTCACAGCTGAGAGATTCTTCTTCCCAAAACTCCATCCCAGCCCTGCTCCTCGTGTTTGCAGGGGATGGAAGGAAGGAAAAGCTGCTTTTAG